GAAACGAATGTTTAGATTGCCAGTTTGTTGACCATCACTCCATGAAGCATTGGTTCAGGGCAGCTGGAAAAGCCGCCAGCTGTACAGTTAAGGAAGCAGACTTTAAATTACAACTGAACATTAGTATTCTCTATGCTTATGACATTTTATACTTTTTCGCGAAATTTAAATTTTCTTGCTTATCGTTGTTGGTTTTGATGGCGGGAAATACGGCCTCTTTTTAGGCCATAGTTGATAAAAATGCAGCAGTAGCATCGGCAGCACTGGTTTCTTCACTTCATTTGCTCCGAAAAAATCCCGAAGTGGTTCGTCGTTGGTCCAACGAAGTTCAGGAAGCTGTCTCGTCGGATAGGTGTGCCTTATTTCTCTTTTTCACTGCGTTCTGTAGTAGAGAGCTGTAGGCCGTTTAATATACAGGGCAGAACCGTTTGGGTGCTCGGCGTGTCATTTATTTCCTAGCAGTTCTTCGACACCTCTCGGAAAAATTGAGCGAAGAAGGATTGGACACCTATTATTTGGAGCCTAAGCCCGTGTCTACCATAATCTGAGAAACGGAGTGAAATGGTATAAAAAAGGGAGCTTTTAGCGTGCAAATACTAGCTTCCATTCACACTCATATACCTAAGGAAAAGGAACAATTATACCAGTACCAAAAACAATAGAGCAATCCAAAAAAAACGGTGTAGTTATCCCGTGTTGTTGATATTTACTATGATGCACCTGCATGCCGGACATTGCTATGCCAGGCTTTTCGATCTCGAGATTCGCACCTCCAGATAGTACCCAGCGTCTGTTCGGTGTATGTGCGCCACCTGGTCGAGGGCCGCCGGAATGGTCGTTTTATATCTGGGAAGTAATACTCTGCAGATGACTTAACTTTGACCTGAGATAAAAATGAAATATTTTAATTGGGAAAATTTTTCACAAAGCCAATTCCCCTACTATTCGTCATCGATTCGCTTCGCTGATGATTTAGTACTGTCATGGAAGCAAAACCCCCCGTTAATTTGCAGCCAAGCAGTGTTTTTAAGTAGGAGTTTTTGATGGTTCCGCAGACGGTTTCTGTTGGGGAAATAAGTGTGTTTTATGGTAAGTTGTGCTTTCAGCAATATGGTGCAATTCCATGCACTTGGCCTGCTCTACCACATTCGTAGTGGCGACCGTTTGGCGGTTAATAAATTGGTTCAGAAATGGAGCAAATCATCACTGCGATCGCCTTTCGCCACCTGCTATCTCATACGTCTAGCCGCCAAACTTATCGAGGAGGATGAAGCTGGGTGATTCTTTTCAGTTTTGCTGCTGAACAGATTTATCTTTCTTGTTGAATCGCCGTGATAGTGATTTTAATTTTTAGTCTTTTGGTGGTTTTTTTTGATGTTTCCCTTGCTCAAATTGCTTATGTCTTGAAAAATGTGGATTATTTAGTTGTTAGAATCAAAATTACGAGTGAAAAACGTACTGTACTGACACCTTACAAGCTTTTTCATTATCGTGCTTTACGCAGCTGGCAGTTTTTCTATTCTTTTCGCTTTGGGAATCACCGCACTCGCACAGGTTCCCCGTAAAAATCGTCATATTAGTTCTCTGCATCGCAAAATCGCTTGTACTGATGAAAAGCCTGTGGGTTGGCTTTTCACGATAAGCAGTGTTTTTTTCCAGGGCCGAAAGTCCGCTGTTCCAGTTCATCGAGTCGTGTCTTCGTCACAAATGTGAAATGGTTATCTACGAAGCTGCTTCTGCGATTGTTCGTCTTCCGAATATCACATCTTCGGAATTGTCGCCAGCTATATCCGTACTACAGCTCTTCTGCTCCTCACCAAAACCATCATTACGTTTTGCGGCCGTTCGAACTCTCAACAAGGTTCGTTTGGATGATTCTAGTTCCCAATGGTGAGAGTTTTTGGGTACCGAGCTACTAACGGTTTGATGCGAAGTATCAGTTTTATTACATATAAATTATGATCACACATAATGCGATGCCAAAGTTACGTACAGCCAAAGCCCTTCATAGTCAAAAATCTTTCGATGGATGCGCATCTCACTGCTTTTACCACTTTTTGAAAGTAAAAGACTCTGAGGAAAAGTAGACTGGAAATTTGAAAAATGAAGGGGAAAACAGGGATCGATATGGTTTTATTGCATAAATAAGCTTGAATTCCACTCCTGCAGGCCCATATAAAGTATGAAGAAGAATTGAACGAAGGAGTAGGAGAGGTATGGCAAATTGTTCAACTGGTACTCTTAAATCCTTCAACAGCAGATATGGGCATGAACAAAAATATCGAAAAACATTGAAGTGTGATTTGCTTGGTGCTGTCGAAAGAGCGAAGAAAACATGTTCAGCAGCACAGATTGACCTCCAGGTGCTTCAACTCCAGTTAAAACATATGGAAAACCTGCTAAATGCAAAGATATCGAGATTTTTTCGATAAAACAACAGTTGGATGAAATATCAATGCAAATGTTTAGCCTAGCCCAGGATTGGAGGCCTGGCGTAGCTTCGTTCGGCATGTGGAAATAACCCCGTAACATCACGAACATGGAATACCCACACAGATAGCCTAGCGGTCCTGATATTCATGGTATTTTATGAAGCTGTTTTCTACAGATTTTACATAAAATGAGTAATTTCTTGCGTTTTTCAGGTGTCGATGAAACATCCACAGGCGATAACATCGTGCAACGTTGACTTGGAGCAACTGATCACAGACCAGAATCGCTCAATAGCAACACTTGCGATCACAACGCTGCTGAAAACTGGTGCCGAATCATCGGTGGAGCGACTGATGAAGCAAATAAGCACTTTTGTGAACGAGATAAGCGATGAATTCAAGGTCCAAAATAGCATTGGTTTGGTGTTGGCAAAAAAAAGCGGTATATCTGGTTTCGATTTCCATGCCCTAAGAGATAGCGATGTTTTTGCAGGTTGTGGTGATTGAAGCAATTCGTTCGCTGTGTGCGCGCTATCCACGTAAACATGCTACGCTGATGTCTTTTCTGGCAACAATGCTGCGCGATGATGGAGGATTCGAATACAAGAAAAGCATTGTTGATACGATAATTGCTATTATTGATGAAAATCCGGACGCAAAAGAAGCAGGTAAAATCTTTGGCACAGAGTTGTATGTGCATTTGCTTCGTACCCTAAAATAAGTTCATTTTCCCGGGAAAATGAATCCTTCAAAAATGGTACCAGCGGGGGGAACAGGATTTGTGCTATTATTATTAGGGAACACAACATTAATGGTACCAGTGGATACACAGTATTCGTCGCAGCCAGGCGTAAGGTACAGTATTTGTGATATCAGTAGAATTAATAACCCAAAAAGAGTAATTGTAAATTCTCAGTTATTCTGGGTAGGAATAACTAGTATAACTATGAATTTAGTAAGGATTAATAACTCAAAACTACGAATTCTTGCGTTTTTCGAAAATTCTCAGATCATCGATGGGTACGAAATATCTCATTAGCCAGGAGCAGTCAGAGCAGTGCTTAGCCTAATGAACCTTATTCGTTGGCCCATCTAGGCAGCCAAATATGCTTATTTTTCTGATACCAACAGAAAATGCGGCATTTTTGGTATTACTAGGAAAAACAAACCTGAGCGCAGCGTTCACGGTATCGGCCGGGATAGAACATTTGCGGTACCAGAAAGTGCGAAATTAATACTGTGCATCATATATGAGCAATTATTGTTTGTTAAGATTCCCGGTTTTTAGGCTTATCGCATCTCTGTGAATTTATCGAAGATTGTGAGCATTCCGTACTTGCGACACGCGTATTACACTTGCTCGGACGCGAAGCACCGTGTACGGCAAATCCATCGCGCTATATTCGCTTTATATACAATCGCGTAATACTGGAAGCAACACAAGTACCTTTTCTTGTTTTTCTTTCTACTATTATTAATGAATTTGCACTATTTTCATTAAACAAGAAATACAAAGAACCCCAAAATCACTAACAGTCGGAGTGCGTATCCTGTGTTAGTGATTTTGCTGGGCGCTTCCACACAACTGAATGCAGCTGCGCCTTGATTAATCCCTTCAGAGAACGAAACAAATACGAGGGTCGCCAGCAGGCTGACCACCATATCAAAACAGTTGATTGTCATTCTCGTAATTGGAAGACTGCCATTTAGAGCTGATTCAAGCATAAGTGGCAGAAAATATGGCTTAACTTTTTATGCGTTTTATGTAACAGCAGTACAAAACGAATATTGTCGTGGGGTTGTCTGTATGTATGTTGTGTGTGTGCCCACAGCAACTTGTCCGCAACTT